GTGTGGTGGTGCACACCTGTAATCCCAGCACTCAGGAGGTGAAGGCAGGAGGATTTCTGTGAGTTTGATGCCAGCCTGTGAATTCAAGCCCAGTCTGGACTGCATTATGAGACTGTCTCAAAAAAACCAGAAAATAAAGGCTCTCAGGGTCCAATGCTCAGTCGTGAAAGCAAAACAGAACAAAACACCAACACAAAATTAGCCTTTTACAACCCTCAACATGTATGAAGTACTGCCCACACACGTCAGCAGTCACTAACATGCATGTCACATGAAGGACTTCATATTTGTACTTTAACTAAGTTCTCTGAACACAGTCTTTCACAGATACTTGGCAGTTTTCATGATACATCAAATTCTAGTGTATTTGTATTTCTGAATGTTCACGCAAGTATGAACTGCAGTTGAAGCAAAGCTAAACTGTAATAATTTTTTTTTTAATCCCTTCCAGGCGTGGCAGCGCAGCCCATAATCCCAGCACTCAGGAGGCAGAGGCAGGAGGACTGCTGTGAGTTGGAAACCAGCCTGACCTACATAGCCAGATACTGTCTCAAAAAAAGTCCCCCCAAAATAAACAACAAACAAAAACTTAAAAAGTGATCAGCGCCTCTAGCAGGAGTGATGGTGCACACTTACAATCCTTACACTCAAAAGACTAAAGCAGGACTACCACGAGGTGGAGGCCAGCCTGAATTCCATAGTAAGAGCCTGAACCCAAAAAGGAAGTAATCAGTGCTTCTAAATACCCCTATAAAACTCATACTGAATGAATCTTAGGTTTTAATAATTATGAATTCCTGTTTTTGTATTATAATTTAAAAGTAGCTCAGGGCTGGTGAGATGGCTCAGTGGCCTAAAGCACCTACTTCGAACAAGCTTAGCAAAGCACAGGGCCCGCGGTTCAATCCCCCAGCACCACATGCCAGCCAGCCCTGCCCCCTGGTGGGCTGAGCTGGCCACATACACACACACACACACAAATAAATTTTTTTAAAAAAGACCCTATTTAAAAAAAAAAAAAAAAAGGTAGCTCAAAGTTTTCAATGTACTTATTAGTTTGCAAATTAAAACAATTACAATAAAATCTCTATGAAAACCCTAAACATCATGCCCCTCCATTATTTTATTATGATTCCTGGATTGAACTTTTTTTTTTAAATTTTTATTTATTTTGTGTGTGTGTGTGTGTGCGGGGCTGGCTGGCATGCGGTGCTGGGGGATTGAACCGTGGTCCCTGTGCTTTGCTAAGCTTGTTCGAAGTAGGTGCTTTAGACCACTGAGCCATCTCACCAGCCCCTCCTGGATTGAACTTGAAGGAAATCGATAGCTTTTCTTAAAGATGTTCTGAAGTCCACTTGACTCTTTTTTTTTTTTATTCACATATTTTCATAGCAAAATGCTATTCAGATCTACCACATAAATATGCACTTACTTTAATTATAAACCCATTTTATGAGCCAGTTTAACACACTCTCAATAACTGAATTGTAAAGGGGGGCCAGGGATACAGTTCAGTAGTGGCGCACCTGCCTGGCAAGTTCTATATCGACTGACTCCTGGTATCTCCCCAAAAATTTTCTCAGAGGGGTGTGTGTAGGGTGGCCAAATAGCTCAGCAGATTAAAGCACCTGTAAGCAGGTGCAGGGGCCAGGGGTTCAATCCCCAGGCCTGCTGTGCCGGCCCAGCCCCTGGGACGCACTGAGATGGCGATTGAGACTGGGCGTGGTGGTGCACCCTGTAGTCCCAGCTCTTGGGAGGCTATAAACAGGCAGATCACGAGTCTGATCTAGTAGTGAGACCCTGAACACCCTGTAGAGCCTTCCCTAAAAATTAAAAAA